AGTCTCCGGTTGTGTCTCTGAGAACATGAAGCGAAAATGGGGACTTTTTAGTGATTTCAAGGTGAAGCTGTCTTCTCTGTAGGAGCCGCTTTTGGGGGGTATAGAAAAGGGTGTTTTTTTCGTTGTTGTTTTTTTTTTTCCACCCAGTAATGTGAAAACATGAAACTCGAAACCAACCCCCAACATTTGTCACCTTAGAGAGAAGCCTTTGGGGTAAGGAGAGGGGAAAAAAAAAAAACCTGTAAATTAGTCAGACTGGCTCAGGGCAAGGGAGGGGGAGCGTCCTCCTGCCTCCAGGCACCAGGGTTTCATTAACACTGATGACCTGAACATGGCCATCAGGTGACAGACAACCAAGACAGTAAAAGGTTTCCTTCCCACCTTCCTTAAACCCCCAAACTCAGCAATCCCCTGCCTCGGTTCTTGGTTCTATTCTAGACTACCCTCTACTGTCACCTGGCAAGAAGAGACTGCGTGACCTCCCAGCAGCAGTGCGCTCCTCCATATGACAGGAGAGGGCCATCGTCATTTCTAGGTCCATCGCATGAGGCAGAGCAGCTGGACAGGGAGAGCTGGTGCAACTGAGACAGGACCTCCCAAAATGCCATGACAACGGTCCTGGGAAGAGGAGGAAAGGAGGCAGAAGCAGCCAGAGAGATGTTTCCTCTGGTCAGGCAGTCTAGGGGCAGACAAGCAGAAGCAAGACCGGCACAGCCTCTTCTGGTCTCCTGAGTCTCAGAAGTAGAGTTGGACTTTGAAAGACAACGCTAAGGATCATGTCCAGGCCTGGCATCGTCTAGGTCAAAGCTCTACCCCTGAGCGACGCCCTGGCCTCAGACCTAGGAACAGCAACTTTGTCTTCCCTGGTTGCACTACCGCCCTGGCATCCATAGGCTACAGACCTAGAAGCAAGTGGAAGCCCTGCCAGCAAGGAGGCCCCATGACCTGGCTGGCTAGAGAGTGCACCTTCTGACCCCAGAAGGCAGCTACAGCCCAAGAAACCTGGCAGCTCAGCCTCAGACTGGCTACCCCATTCCTCCACTCATCTGCGGCTTTGGGCCAGGACTCCCACCCAAGGCTCAGTGTGCCCTTCCCAGTGCCCTGTGCATGAGGCTTTGGGAACTGGCAAGCGGAGATGCCTTTAGGAGGAAGAGAGCCCAGAACCACACACCTACTTGCCTCATGGTTTCAAGTCCCAACAGGCCCTGGCCTCACTGGCCTCCACAGGCAGGCAGAACAGTCTACATGTTGGCTGCTTTCCCTACAGAAGGACGTGCAACTTTGATTGTTCAGTGACCCACAGTCAGCAGCATGGAGAGACAGCAAGTCACAAGCCAACCCTCAGACCTCCACAAAAGGAAACCCCCTACAACATCCCGGTGGACCAGCATCTAGGAAACCTGAGGCCTTGGGAAAGACCCTAATGGTCCCTACAGGATCCTCATTAAAAGCGGGAAAGCTACAATACATTCAGACGAAAAGGAAAGATCTTTTCATGGAGCGCTCCTCGGTGGCATTAAATTCAATAAACAAATCCATACTCAGCATCTCTGGGGGACAAGGAGGTTCTGGCAGAAGCTACTTCCGTGGGAGACGCAGGCTCACTGATAAGCAGCCCAGAGAGAGGCAGCAGCTCCACCTGCTGGGCTCTCTTCCACCCTACAGCTCCTTCCGTGGATGGAAAAATCAGAATTAGATTCTTATACTGAAAGCTAAAACAAGGCCTTGACGTGCTTCCGTTTTATTTGAAAGGACCCTAAGACAAGGCTGTAAACGGACTGAGCAGGCTCGGGGACTGTCCCTTGGACAGATCCACGGGTTCCACAGGGCTCAGATGGCTGCTGCTTTGAAACTGCTTTGAAGTCTTGACTTATGCCAAGACATGAACCAAACAAGAATACTGAGTCACAGGCAAGTTCTCCACTTCCACAGGCTGCCCACAGCCTCGTGGCACAGCCAGTGTGGTATACCATGCCAACAAGCCAGACCATCCTGAGCCTAAGAAAGTGGCTACAAATAAAACAAATGCTCCCCCTTTCCTTGCAAGTCTTCTTCTGTGCCTTAGAGCTGTGGCCTGGTCTCAGAATCCGTGAGACTGGAGTTGTGATGGGTTAATGACAAGGGACCACTTCCCTCTCCCCAGAATTCTTGGGCCCTCCAGACACCATGGTTCATAACTGTAATTCTGGCACTGGCAGTGAGTCAGAATAGTAAGTCGGACAGCAGTCCAGGCTGGCACGAGATCATGTCAAAAAATTAAAACAAGGGGCTAGAGAGGTGGCTCAACAGTTAAGAGTTTACTGCTCTTGAAGAGAATCCGGAGACCCCGGAGACAGCCAACAATGGCACGGCAGCAAGGATACCTAGTCTTGTTCCTCTAGTTTTGATTACCTGTAGCTTGGAAGTTCAGGAACTCCAAACTTAATTGGACTTTGCAGCCCCTTTGGACTGAGCACAAGCCCCTTCAAGCATCTCCACTGGTGTGTTACGTGTGTGCACGTGTGTGCACGTGGGTGCATGGATGTGTCCATACCTGTTTATGGGGCCCAAGTTGTTTCTGCCTCATGCCTCGGTTAACAAGAGAGCCCATGCAGCACTGTGTGCTTCTGTGTGGGTGTTCACTTTATGAGACGGTGGGCAGGTACACTCTCAATTCTCCCCCACTCTCCTACCCAGGAATAGCAAGAACAGCGCCAGTGTCTGATGGCTTACCCCAGAACAGACCATTACTTGGTCTGTTAACTCCTTGGGATGTCAAATTCCTTTCAGGAACCATCTGAAAATACTACCCGTGCCTTGCTCCAGCCAGGGTTTCCCAACAGTGTTTCCCAACAGTGTTACCTACATCTCTACATCTGTTGATGGGACCCGAGACTCAACCACCGACACTAACAGCTCAGCACCTCTTCACAAAATTGAGTTCAGTCTGAAAAAGCTTCCTTTCTAAAGGCAAAAGCTAGCTTCTGTTCTCTGGGACCTTATTTTCAGGGTTCCCAGATCTGAATCCCACAGTATATATTCTGAGAAACAGGTTTTCATTCTAGGCTTTATACAGGAACCTGGTAGGCACATCATTTACGAATGTGTGTGTGTGTGTGTATGTGTGTGTGTGTGTGTGTGTGTGTGTGTGTGTCTGGGCCTGGAGAGATGGCTCAGAGGTTAGTAGCACTGGCTACTCTTCCAGAGGACCTGGATTCAATTCCCAGAACCCACATGGTGCTCACAATCAGGTATAATTTGTTTCAGGGGACCCAACACCCTCTTCTGGCCTCTGCAGGCACCAGGCACGCACGTGGTGGACATAAAGGCAGAACCCTCATAAACACATTTTCAAAAGGAAAATCTATCAGACCTACGCGGCTATTCCTCTCAAGGAAGTGGAGTGTGGACAAGACTCCCAGAACCGTTTTTAGTTCTCCCACATCTGTAAGCATGCTCAGTCCTGTTCTGACTGGCCATGGCCTACCATCCCTATATATGGGCAAGGAAGCAAAGGGCGGGACCCAGGGAAGAGAAGAAAACAGCTCCAAATAGCCTGGGGTTGGCATTCTCAGGTGAAGTCATTTTATAGCCTTGGAATCAGCAATTGGCCAAGAGCAGAGGGCAGGAGCAGAGCCAGTCCTAGTAAGTTCTAATGTGAGCTTTCTGAGCCAGTTCCAAGGATGGTTGTCTCCACATGTAAGCAGGGAGAAATGAACTCTTGGACAACTTATAAAGCCACCCAAATAATAATGAAGATCCCACTCTCTGCTGTACACATCTAATCCTTAAAACCATTACTTTAGCCAACTGCTTTGGCATGTCTGTAATTCCAGTCCTAGGGTTAAAAAAGAAAAAAAAAAAGCAGAAAGGTCACAAGTTCAAGGTCACCCTTGGCTACACAGCTAATTTTAGGTTTTAGGTCAGTCAGGAGTCCATGAGATCCCATCTCAAAAAACAAAAGAAATTCTGGTTCCATTACTGTGCAAGCATGCGGGCTTGGTTTCCAGAACCCATATTTTGTTGTTTGTTTTTCTGACTCTGTAGCCCTGGCTGCCCTGGAACTCTAGATCAGAGATCCAAATTGACTCTGCCCCCCCCCCCAGTACTGTATTAAAGGCATGTGCCAACCCTGCCCAGCCCTAGATCCCACATTTTTAAAGCCCCATGAAGGAGCTGATACGACAGCCCAGTAGGTAAAGGCACTAGCCACCAAACCTGATAACAGAGTTAGATGTCTGGAACAACACTGTAGGAGGAGAGAACTAAATCCAGCAAGCTGTCTCCAACAGGTGTGGTGCTCCTCCCCTGAAATCCCAGCAAAAGCAGACAAAGACGGGTGGATCCGAGGTGCACTGGCCGGCCAGCCTAGTCTAATCCATGAGCTCCAGGCAAATGAGACACTGTCTCAAAACAAGGTGAACCAATTTTAAGGCCAGGCATTGTCCCATGGCCTCCACATGCACCACCATATACTGCATCCACCCAAACACAGACAGAAACGATGACTTTACTTTTTACTTTGGTTTTATATTACTTTTGAAAAATTCTGTAATATAACAAAATTGAACAGAGCTATATTTAATTAAAAATTAGAATGTAAAATTTGCTAGGAGAATGATAAACCAAAATTTAAACAAAAATTGATATATAACTATCCCAAATGGGGGACATACACCAGAATGCCCATGCTAGTAGCCCAAGCTCCTACTATGGAATAACTGTCCTTAAATACTGAGATCAGAGGTGTATTCATCTATCTTCTACTCTGCTATATAAAATTATGTAACTTTTATGAGGAAAAATAAGTACTATATATAAGAGAATGAATTCATAATATAGAAACAAAGCCAGGCAATGGTGGCACATACCTTTAACCCCAGCACTTGGGAAGCAGAAGCAGGAGGATCTCTGTGAGTTCAAGGCCAGCCTGGTTTACAGAGTGAGTTCCAGGACAGTCCAACGCTACACAGAGAAACCCTGTTTCAAAAAACCAAATAATAATAATACAGAAACAATGATATTGGGGAATGGGTTTTAATGTTCTCATAGATATCAAATAGCAGGTTAACAATAAGTCATGATTACAAAAAAGAAAATCAAGGCATCTGAACTAATGAAATCCGAAATTGTTGCAAAAGGGGAAAAAAGTTCTTTTCAATGCAGAATGATGAGGTTTATTTTTAACGTATCAACGTTTTCGGCGAGTCTGGAATCTGTAAATAGCCGGGGAGTTCACTGTTTCTTTCTTTACCTTCACCTTCTTAGTTTTATCCTGTAAGGGTAGAAGGTGACCAGTAAACATAAGTAGGGTCTCCTGAAGCAGCACAGTCAGTAGGCTAGCTAAGGGGAAGTCCGACAGAGCCCTCCTCCAAGTTCAGAAGAGCAGGAGCCACCCGCTGCAGGAGCCACTTAACTCCTGGAGCACACAGAACGCTACCAGTTGTCAACAGTCCTTGGGAAAACTGAGGCGAGAGCAGCTCAAGTAATTATTTTGTTTAAATTATAAATTTAATTCTCTCTCAGAACCCTAGCTGAGAAAGGCCAACCTAAATGATCTGCAAGGCTGAAGAATCTGACATTTAGAGGAATGATAATACGAAAGAGCTTCTTAAATTCCTTGGCTCTGCTACTTCACTGCACAATGCTGTCTATTTTTAAACACCCGTGAGTGGCATGCACTGTTTGTTAACCTGTTTAAATGTTACGGGAGCTGCTCATAAGCTGTAGAGTCCACACGCTACCTGATCCCACCCTCTTCTGCTCAGGGCACTGACTAACAACTCTTATTACCTTCTTAATCAAGGAACCTTTCTACAGTGTCAGAGCAATAGACACTGGCTCAAACCACTGCCCCAAAGGAGCAGACATTTCACTGCTGTTGATTTACACACAGCCGAGATCCAGTCTCAGTTAAGACCTTTATAAGAAAGAAAGAGAGAGAGAGGGAGGGAGAAAGGGGGAGAGAGAGAGAGAGAGAGAGAGAGAGAGAGAGAGAGAGAGAGAGAAAGGAAAGAAAGAAGGAAGGAAGGAAGGAAGGAAGGAAGGAAGGAAGGAAGGAAGGAAGGAAAGAAGGCAGGCAGGCAGGCAGGCAGGCAGGCTGAAGGCTATCTCTCCTCACCATTAGATCTTTGCGGGTTTGGATTTTCTGTGCAACCACGAACAGCTTCTTTTCCCGGTCAATTCGCTGCGTCAAGCAATCATACTGCCTTTGTCTTTCTTTAGCTATCCTCTACAGAATAAACATACATTTAAATAAAACAATTAACAAGACGAAGGAGTTCTTGAGTCCAACTACAATAGTTTCACCAGTCCCCCTTTTTTTTTTTAAAAAAAAATATTTATTTATTTTATTATTATGTATACAACATTCTGTCTGTGTGTATGTATGCCTGCAGGCCAGAAGAGGGCACCAGACCTCATTACAGATGGTTGTGAGCCACCATGTGGTTGCTGGGAATTGAACTCAGAACCTTTGGAAGAGCAGGCAATGCTCTTAACCACTGAGCCATCTTGCCAGCCCCACCAGTCCCCTTTTTATTCCAGACTCAACTCAAAATGCCCACCATTAAGACGCCCACTTTAAAGCCAGAACACACTAGGAGTGAAAGTATGTGTGGAAACTACCCTATCAAAACCTGTCACTTAGCAAATGTAGAACGATACCAAAGGAAAAAAGTAAGGGTAGATGGTTTGCCTAACGGTAGTCAGGACTGTCCTGAGGAGCCCCCACCTCCAAGAGTGTTTGTTCCCAGAGGTCCACTAAGTGGTCTCAGTTACCAGAGCTGAGGGCAGCAGCTGCCCAGGACTGGACGCCTGCAGAAGTGAACAGAGCAACAGAAGGGCCAGTGATGGGCTGTGTGCTGGGGCCAGAGTCTCTCCGTCTCAGTCTCACAGAGCAAAGGAGAATTTTCAACACTGAGACCCAAGAAGACGACTCACCGGCTAATGACTCCTCAGGACTATTGCAGTCCTTACATTCCCGAGACTTGAAGCATCTGAGAAACTAACAACTTTGGCTTCTTCTTAGAGATTGCACACAGACTGAGTCTCACTTATCCATAATGCTTGGAACAGAGTGTTTGGATTTCATATTTTGGGGTGTTTGGAATATGTGCATGTACATGAGTTTAGGGATGAAACCCAAGTCTAAATAAGCGATTCATTATTTTTCATATATTCCTTATATACACAGCCTGAAGATAATTTTACACAGTATTTTTAGCATGCTTGCATTTTGACTGTGGCCTATCATATAAAATCAGGTGTGCAATTTCCCACTTGTATCATATCAGCACTCAAAACATTGTAAAACTTTTAAAGGACTTCAGATTTTACTGTTTTGAACTACCTGTATGTACATATATGCAGAAACCTGTACATACATACATGTACACAATTTCAGTGTGGGGGGGATGGATGTTCACAGACTTCAAGCCATTCACAGACTGCAGCAGCTTCTTGATAAAAATAATTATGCTTTAAACAAAGCAATGAAGTGAAACAACACTGGGCAAAAACGGCAGGCCCGAGCCCTCTGGGTTTGTAGCCACTCTGATGGCAGACCATCCTTTAGGGTCGACACTGCCCTCGGAGAGGACTACAGTGCAAAACCACCTGAGAAGTGTCGGTGACCCGGCTGACTGAAAACACAACTAACCAACAAACAAGGTCATCACAAGAACCCCTCGGCCAGCTTCTCGGCCGGCAGTGTTACGAACGTAAAGGGGCCTAGCACTGGGCCTCAGACCAACAACTCGCCAGCTCGAGCAGAGTCTCACAGCAGTGGTTTCAGACAGCTTTTGTTTTCACTTTATTGCACAGACTGTCAAATTTATGGGATTACCCAATATAGTCAAACTAATTAGGGGTATTTATATTACTAAAGCAAGTTTAGCTGCCTCTGAGCAAGAGGAAACTGCTGTGAAATTAAACATTGGAAGCAAAACTGATGCGGTGTAAATGATTCAAATCAAAACAGAACAGCTGTCTGCTTCAAACACATTGACAGCATTTTTTTTTTAAATGAATCAGTCAGAAGTGAGAGTTCAACTCCAGAAGGCTCTAAGAAAAAGCCTGTCATCTACACAACCCAGTCATGTGATAGAAAGCACCATAAGGAAAAGTCAATACAAAAATCTTGGTTACAAACGAGTAATATGAAAACATTTTAATATGCGTATTCACTGAAAAAGGTTCTAGATCAAAGCACTACATGCACATCCCTAATCTTCAGTGTTCCCTCCCTGCTCTGCATTTTCTAAGCGTCAGCAAAGGATGCACATGTTAAAAACACAAAGGACCAGATCAGAGTTGGAATTCAAACCCAAAATCAAAGCTCCTGACCACTATGGAACACATCCTCCAAAACAAACAAAAAAATCCACTTCCACCCCATCACCAAATAATCTTTCTACTTTATCTAGACAGTTTTTGAAGTTTTCCATGAATAATTATAAAAAATACAGTGGCAAAAGAAAAAAAAAACCACAAACAAACAAAAAAACCCAAACTCCCCCAACTCCCACCTGAATGCAAAAGAGATGCATACCTTGAGCCGAGTCTGAGGGGTAAGGCCTTTCACTTTCTCCTTCTGCAAGGTGTCTATCCTGGGTCTATTGAAGACCCTGTCGACCAGTTCTGGGGCCGTTTGCAAATGAGTTGCAATATCAAACCGTTCAACTGAAATTCAACACAATCTTTAAGGCACAGGTTGTTGCTAACACCATACAGCACACAATGACATGGCAGACTATCCCAGACACCTTCAACATTTCATACCTTCCTTTTTGGTGTCAAAAAAGAACACGTGCTTGTTCTGTTGCTTCCCCTGGAAATCCAGCAGGTGGAGCTCTGATTTCAGTCTTTCGATTTTCTAGAGTAAGGACTATGGTTAAAGTGGGTTCTTCCGGAGTCTCAGAAATAAACTTTCAAGAACTTAGACACTTCCCATCACCACTGTCAGGCAGCAAACAATTCATTTCATTCTTTTTGATATTTTTAGGTACTGGCTTTCACTGTGGCATCGTCACACATGTCTATAATTATACTTTGTATAATGGTTTCATTCTTTTTTTCCCCCAACACAGGGTTTCTCTGTGTACCCCTGGCTGTCCTGGAATGCACTCTGTAGACCAGGCTGGCCTCGAACTCAAGAGATCCACCTTCCTCTGCCTCCCAAGTGTTGGGATTAAAGGTGTATGCTACCACTGCAAGGCAGGTTTTAGTCTTTTAAATGAAAGCACTTAAATTTATTTATCAAGCACTAGACAAGACATTGCACAAAACTCAATATTTAAAACATATGACAAAAATAAGCATTCTTAAGCTAACTGGTCCATAACCATGGGGTTAGAAACTGGCAGAGCCAGAATTTAGCCTACATCTCTCATTCTCAAACCTGAACTCTATTCCACCATGCTGATTATACTTCTAAATCATCACACCAAACTTGACATTATCCAATTGTTTCCTTTGTTGTTGTTTAAACCAGAGCCTCAATTTTTTAAAAAATTTATTTATTTAGTATGTATACAGTGTTCTGCCTGCATGTGTCACTGCAGGCCAGAAGAGGGCACTAGATCTCACTACAGATGGTTATGAGCCACCATGTGGGTGCTGGGAATTGAACTCAAGACGTCTGGAAGAGCAGACAGTCTTAACTTCTGAGCCATCTCTCTAGCCCTGGGCCTTAATTTTTAGAGCTGCTACCTCCCAGGTGCTGGAACTAGAGGTATACACAACCACAATCTGCTATGTCCTTTCTTAATTAACCAACAAAAATCCATCAGAACAAAGATGTGAAGGCCACCTTGGCTTCTGCGACCCTTTTCATCTCTATGTATTTGATGTCCTGAGTTCTCATCAGCTTTAGCTGCTCCGGTGTCACTTCTTCCTTGGCCTTCTTGATGACATGAACTCCATCCTAAAATTGAAGTTTAACAGATACAGTGTATAGCAGAGTACTATCATTAGTAAGCTGTTTGCATAATCCATGTATAAAGCAAAGACAAGCATGCACACTAAGAACTCCGGCCACTGACACCCACCTTGAGCAGACATGCCTCCATTCACTTACCCTTCAAACAAGAGGCTGGGGTGTACCGCTGGGGTACAACACTTTGTCTAGCATGCAGAGGTACTGGGCTCCATTTATAATAACAAAATCAAAACAAATAGAGGAGGAAAAAAAAAAAAACAAGATGGCGCAAAGAAAGGAGTATGCTGACCAAGAAAAAGACAGGCTGCCTTGGACCTCTCACCAGGAGCATCTGGTCCAAGTGGTGAAGAGTCACAAGGATGCTTCCTCGCGCAGCCTCATTCCCCATTATTTCCCAACACTTGGGGCTCTGTTCTGCACCTACCTGGAGCTTATCCCGAGTCATTTTATAGTAGAATTCATCTGGATTCTTTTCCAGAGCCTTCTTCCGGAGAGCTCTGAGGAAGTCTTGCTTTTTATGATAGTCACTGAAAAAACAAGTCAGGAGAGTTTCACTGCAGAAGAAAAACTATCCACACAGATGAACTACATGCATTTAAAAGTTCATAACCTGGTTGGGGGTGGGGGGAATCTGGACAGATGGCTCAGCCGCTAAAAGCACTGACTGCTCTTCCATAGGACCCAGGTTCAGTTCTCAGCACCCACACGGCAGCTAGCAACTGTCTCTAATGCCAAGATCTGACACCCTCACACAGGCCTACATGCAGGCAAAATACAAATGAAATAAAAGTAAATAAATTTAAAAAATTCATAACCTGGAGGTACATCTGCTACATCAACACTTAGAAGGCTGAAGCAGAAGAATCACAAATTTAAAATCAATTTGACTTACAGTGAGAGCTTGTCTTAAAAACAAACAAATAAACAAAATCCCTCAAAGCAAACAAACCAATGAAAATCACACACAAAAAGAATATATTAAAGAAACCCAAAGCAGGGCTGGAGAGATGGCTCAGTGGTTAAGAGCACTGCCTGCTCTTCCAAAGGTCCTGAGTTCAATTCCCAACAACTACATGGTGGCTCACAACCACCTGTAATGAGATCTGGTGCCCTCTTCTGGCCTGCAGGCATACATGCCAGCAGAACACTATTTAAAAAAAAAAAAAAAGGAAGAAAGGAAGGAAGGAAGGTTAGTCCCAGGTCCAATTCCCAGAACAGACATGGCAGCTAACAACAGTCTATAACTCCAGTTCCAAGAGGATCTGATGCCCTCTTCTGGTCTCCACAGGCACATATCAGGAGGCAGAGAGAGGGGGATCTCTGTAAATTTGAGGTCAGCCTGGTCTACAGAGTGAGTTTCAGGCCAGCCAGGGATACATAGTGAGACCTTATCTCCAAAAATAAAATAAATAAATTTTTAAAAAATTAAAATCTGGGACCTACAGAAATCCATTTAATCATCACCACCCACCACACCAGGAGTATAAGAACCTCAGCTGACTTGTATGCTAATAGGCAATTACAAGCATTTTGCAAATGAAGTGCTAAAGAAAAGAATGGACATAATTGTTTTATAAAATGTTTTCATAGTTCCTCATCACCCACTCTCAGGCTCATGAATCCGTCTTTCGCATCTCCTCATTCCACACCATAAATAATGATGTAAGAGACTCAGCAAGTGGAATTTTTAGACTGTATCTTTCACTTCAAGAAAAGGGAGCAAAAGATTCAGCATTTAGTTCAAACACCAAGGCGGAGGCAAAGCAACACCACTATGAGAAAACCACATGGACAAGCCTAATGAAAAAAAAAATGATGCGGCAATTACCTAAGTACCGCTCTGTCTGAGCAGAGAGAAGCCTGGGGAGGGTCACGGGAAAATACCTAACAAGCTGCCAGAGATTTGGCTATTTTATCAACAACAGGAAATCACTTCCCTGGTAGATACATGGACACTTTAGCAGTAGTATGGCAATGCTGTAAGCTTTTTTGGCAGCACCTCTACCAGAAATACTGGACTCACTTTGCACGAAGTTTGTAATCTTTCTTCTTCTCCAGCAAACCCAGACGTTTTCGAAAGCCAGGCTAGAAGACAAAAGGAAAAGGACGCACTTAGTTCTCTTGGCAAACACAAGCTCAAAGCAACATGACACCTGACAGGAACAGGACTCTGTAGTACTCAGTAAATGTGTCCTTGGAGCCAGCCCACTAACCTGTTCCTCCCTCCTCCCCCTTACTAGACCCTGGCCAGGGATGAGAAGGCTCGTCCAGGAGCCAGACAGGTCACAAGCACCGCCATAGTAGCTTTCTTGGCCTATTAAGGACAGAGAGAGGCAACAATGACTCGGCACTAAGCAAGCAGTTGCCAGCTGTACTAAAATTACTACCAGGTTAATCCAAGGGCTTATAAAATACTATGAAGGGAAAACACAGTAACAGGAGGCAACTGTGGTTAAGGGAGCTAAATTTAGAGTTTTCGGACTCAGGTTCAATCCATGCTTTACCTCTTAATAATCTGTGACCTTGAGCAAATAAATCACTTAACTTCTCTGAGCTGTCATTTTCTAACTATAAAATAAGAGCAGTAAGACTGAGTAAATGGTACTTGCCTGCAATCCTGACACTTGGAAGCCTGAGGCAGGAGGATTGCAAAGGCTACATAGTAAGACCAGAAACAAAACAAAACAGAGAGCAGCAGAGGCAAAACCAAGTAAAATGAGAAATTATTCTCTCTGAAGTTCACTTCTACAATGTGCGGGGTTCCATGACTCTGTCTTTTTTTTTGGGGGGGGGGGGAAGCAAGTTCGAGACAGGGTTTCTCTGTAGCTTTGGAGCCTGTCCTAGACCAGGCTGGCCTCGAACTCACAGAGATCCGCCTGCCTCTGCCTCCCGAGTGCTAGGATTAAAGGCGTGCACCACCACCCACCACCACCCTGCGCGACTCTGTCTTCTTTATAGCCTTCTACCATTACTCTGAGTGCTTAATGTCTGGTTAAATTGGTACATGTTTATAATACCAGAACTTGAAAAATGGAAACAAAGGGATGAGGAGTTCAAGTCCAGTCTAAGCTATATGAGATCCTGTGTAAATTATATGTGTCTATGTTAGATGCTTTTTTGACTTTTTGCTATGGAGGAGAGCTTAATTCTTTGGGCTACTTAACTTCTGATCCTCCTGCCTCCATCTGCAGAGTGCTGAAATTAGAAGTGTATGCCACCATGCCAGGTTTTTATTAGATGCTGAGGATCAAACCCAGACCCTCTACCTACTGAGTTACACCCCCTGAACTCTACTTACATCATCTTAACAGCTCACAATTATATACCGACTCTGTTCCAAAGCAATGTGCTATGCTTGTTACATACTCCTATTTCATCTTTATGACCATTACAAAAAAGTAAAGCATATTCCAGAAAGGGAATGACATTTAGAGCATGCATTCAAGAATGTAGAACCAAGGCTGGGGATGTACCTCGGCTGATGGATTGTTTGCCTAGCATACAAAAATCCCTAGGTTCACTCTACAGAGCCACATAAACCAGGCATTATGGCACACAACTGTAATCCTTGTACAAAGAAAGTAGGCAGGCTGATCAGAAGTCCAAGGTCATCCTTAGCTACATACACAGGAGCTATTTACTCTCTAGGAATGCAGAACCCCACCTTCTGCAGCCAGTCTATGCTTTTTCAGAGCCCACTATACTCTTTCTGCTCTGAAGAATGTTTATTTAGCTTTGGGTTTGGAAGCAGGTTATCATACAGCAGCTCTGGTTGACTTCAAACTCATGACCTCCTGTTTCAGCCTTCCAAAAGCTATGATGATGAGGATGTTCCCACCATATCCAGCTTTGTGCCTGACTCCACCCCCATCCCACCACACATCTGCCTTTTTTGAGATAGGTTCCCATTCCATAGCACAGGTTGGCCTGGAACCCACTATGTTACTTCAGGCAGGGCTTGTGAGCCTCCTGGCCTCAGCCTGTCGATTTGAACCGCTATCCCAGTCCTCTGAACAACCTTGACTTCTGGGCTGCATATATAAGTCTCTGCTGAACCTGGGATAATAACTTGGACGGCATTCTTACAGCCACCTTTGTCATCTCTTAATCTTTCAAGGGACAAAATAACCCAATGAGGAAAGTAACAAGGACAGCAAGACGGGTCAGAATGGAGATGTCTGCCACCTCACCTAAGTTTGATCCCTGAGGGCCCAGACACGGAAGGAGAGAAATGACCTCCCTCTCACTATCTTCTGACCTCCATAACGACTCCCCGGCATGACTTCCCAACACTCACACACCCATACCCATACAAACCATTAATAACTGTAATCTTTTTTTTTTTTTTTTTTTGGTTTTTCGAGACAGGGTTTCTCTGTAGCTTTGGACCCTGTCCTGAAACTAGCTCTTGTAGACCAGGCTGGTCGCAAACTCACAGAGATTCGCCTGCTTCTGCCTCCTGAGTGCTGGGATTAAAGGCATGTGCCACCACTGCCCTGTAGTAACTGTAATTTAAAAAAAAAATTAACCTGTGTGGTGGGACAAGCCCTCCGAGCACTCAGCAGACAAGGGGCAGCGGGGTCTCTGTGAGTTCAAGGCAAGCCTGGACTACAGAGTTCTAGGCCAGCCAAGGCTGTGAAACACTGTCTTAAAACAGACTCTTTTTTTTTGTAATTATTGTTATACACAGTGGTGGCACACACCTTTAATCCTGCATTTGGGAGACAGAGGCAGGCTCTATAGAACCAGTTACAAGACAGAGCTACACAGAGAAACCCTGTCTGAACAGAAAAAGAAAGAGAGATGCTTAGTCAAAAATGGGCCTGGAGAGATGGTTCAGTGGCTAAGGGCACTGGCTGTTCTTCCAAAGGACCTAGGCTCAATTACCAGCACCCACATGGCAGCTCACAACTATCAGCGACTCCAGTTACGTTTGTTTTATGTGTATGAGTGTTTTGCCTGCACATACATATGTGCACCACATGCATGCCTGGTGCCCTCAGAGGTCAGATAAAAGCATCAAGTCCTCTGAAACTGAAGTTATAGATGGCTGTAAGCTACCATGTGAGTGCTGGGAACCAAACCTCTCTGCAAGAGCAGTAAGTGTTCTTAACCACTGAGCCATCTCCCAGCACCCATGAGAGCTTCTATTTTTAATACAGCAAAGGGAGATTGGCAGCGAACAACAATGAGGTAGGGGTCTTGAAATCATGTGTGAATATACATGTGCATTACAGAGGAAGCCAGACACTACATGTGGAGCAGTTACACATTCACCTCCTCCACACGAATTTTGGAGAGCTTCCACTGCATCAGGACCAGGACAAAGGAAAACACAAGGAACCCAAATTCACAAGTGATTCAGGCATCGCCTTGAAATCCCTTTCTTCTATATTAATCCAAGTCAACTATTTGTGAGTGTGACTTTAGATGTGAAATTTAATCTCTTTAAGCATCAGGCTCTTAATTTGTAAGATGAAAAGCATCTAGCTCCTAAGGACACTGTGGGATTAGGAGACACTCCTTTTACAGCACGCACAGCTATTCCTAGAATGCTCAAAATGACCATTTTAGGCAGGATGTACTGTAATCCCAACATCAACAATGCTAAGGCAGAAGGATCACAAATTGAATTTGAGCTAAGTCTAGGCTAAATAGGGAGCTCTTATCTCCAAAAAAAGAAAAAAAATCACACACATTCAGTAGCTTTACCTTCAAAAGCAAACTGACCTACGAATTCAAAACATTCCAACACGATGTTCTATACCTCTACCATTTCCACACATGTTGCACACTTGGCATTTTTAATTTTGTTGTTGTTTTTGTTTTTCGAGACAGGGTTTCTCCGTGTAGCATTGAAGCCTGTCCTAGAACTCACTCTGTAGACCAGGCTGGCCTCGAACCTACAGAGATCCGCCTGTCTCTGCCTTGCAAGTTCTGGGATTAAAGGCATGCACCATCACTGACCAACTGTGTATGACTGTCTTACTTTCATATATGTTGTGCACCACTAGTGTGCCTGGTGCCCAAGGAGGCCAAAAGAGAGCCTCTAACCCCCTGGAACTGGAGTTACAGATGGATGTGAGCTGACATATCAGTGCTAGGACTTGAACCTGAGTCCTCTCAAACAGCAACAAGTGCTCTTAACCACGGAGCCAGCTCTCCAGGCCCACACCTGGTATTTTTAATGTGCTACTTCTTATAAAGTTACCTCCATTTTGTTTTAAGTTTTATCTCTTTTCTTTCCCAAGACTTATTTTTATGTGCACTGATGTTTTGCCAGCATGTATGTCTCTATGAGGGTGCCAGATCCCCTGGAACTGGAGTTACAGACAGTTGTAAGCTGCCATGTGGATGCTAGAAATTGAACCCAGGTCCTATAGAAGAGCAGCTAGTGCTCTTAAAGGACAACCCCTCTCCCCAGCTCCACCTCTGTATTCTTAAACACCTGATGTGATTTCCAGCTTTGCCATATGACAGCTCTAGCTGTCCCTCTCCAGGTAAATACTTGACCATCTGAGCCTCATTTCCTCAAGGAAATGTGAGGAAATAATAACCTGCTTCCCAACAGCTGCTCTAAGTGGAACGGCTGAGAGTCATGTGTTTATACTTCACTAAGTTCGGGCCACTGCCAGTTTTCGATAAGTCTGTATACAGTCTCGCAAACAAGATGTTAAAATACACTACCTGTGGGTAAAGGCATCTGCCGCCAAGTCTAATGACCTGAGTTTAAACATGAAGGCAACTCCCACAAGTTGTCCTCTGACCGCCACAAAGCTATGGCCCCAATACACACATAGTTAAATAAATAAAATACATGTAAGATAAACTTTTCAATACATGTATGATACTGCTTCCACTAAGCATACACCAAAATAAATGCTATTAAGCAGAAAGAATGTGTGTTTAAGAAGACTCAGAACACCGTGCAGTGGTGGCGCACAGTTTTAATCCCAGCACTAAGGAGGCAAAGGCAGGTAGATCTCTGTGAGTCTACAGAGCGAGTTCCAGGACAGGCTCCAAAGCTATACAGAGAAACCCTGTCTTGAAAAAAAAAAAAAAAAGACTCAGAACTATCCCTTCTCATCCTTTTGGCTGAGATCAACTACAAAAGGACTTTTAAACTATTAAAAAGAGAGCCAGAGAGAGGGGCCTATATTCAACAGTATCAGTCAGTTGCACAGTTTCAGAGGTAATACCCTTTCCCTTTCTTCAGCCTCTGTACCACTGGTATCTCCAAAGGCCTTGTGGGTTGTTTATATGGGGGTTCTATTTGTTGTGACTGTGGTTTAATTTTGTGCGTATACATGACATCTGTGTATGCGGGTATATATGCCACTCCTTAAGAGTCCATTCTCCAAAGAGAGGTCAAGAAGTTGAAAGAGCGAGTCTTAGTATATGGGACAGTTTGGAGGGCAGAAAGGGAAGAGGACATGTTGTGACTAAGTTATATTCTCAAAATAAAAAGTTGAGAAGAGTCCACTCTTTCCCTCCACCTTTCTATGAGTTCTGAGGAGCTTACTCAGGTCACATGGCTTGTGCAGCTACCACATTTACTGGCTGAGCCATTTTGTTTTGTTGAGATACTGTCTCATGTAGCCCAGAGTGTCCTAAAACTTGGTGGATTATCCAAAATTCTTGATCCTCTTACCAAAAAAAGAAGAAGAAAGAAAAATATTTATTTGAGGGCTAAAGAGATGGTTTAACAGTTAAAAACACATTATTCTCTTCCAGAAGATCCAAGTTCACCTCCCAGCACCCATATCAGGCATGCTACAACTACCTGCAACCCCAGCTCCAGGGCGAGCTCCCACAGGCATATGTCGTCAAGTGCACACACCCACCCACAGACACACATGTACACACATAAGCTAACTTTTTGATTTAAAAAAAAAAAAAAGCTGGCAGTGGCACACGCCTTTAATCCCGGCACTCAGCAGAGGCAGGTGAATCTCTGTGAGTTCAAGGCCAGCCTGGTCTACAGAGTTAGCCCCAGGACAATCAGAGTGTTACAGAGAAACCCTGCCTCAAAACACCAAAAATAAACAAATAAATAATAGTGTTTTTTTTTTAAAAAAAAAGATGCATAATTGTGTATGTCTATGTGTATGACCAAGTGAGAGCAAAGCCTGTGCAAGCCAGAAGGGAGTGAAGAATTTTCTGGAGTTGGAGTTATAGGTACTTGTGAGTCCATGATGTGGGTACTGGGATTTGAACTCTGATACAGCAGTCAAGTGTTCTTAACGGCTAAGCCCTCTCTCCAGCTGTTAACGGCTTGTGTGAACTAGTTATGTGATTTTATTATGAGAATAATAATGGGGATGGTATGAGTCTGGATACATCTTTATTTCTATCACATATCCCCACACCGACACATTTTCCTTAGAAACGTCACAATTACTTATTCTAACTAACATCTCGTAGGGACTCCCTCGCTCCTTTCTTTCTTCCTACCGAGGACTAAATCTTGCTAGGCGAGCAGTTCACCACCGAGTTTTACGTCCAGAATGTTTTTCGATTTTTATTTTGAGACAGGTCTAAGCTGTTCAGGCAGGCCCTGACTCTGTGATCCTTCTGTCTTGGCCTCCTGAGTAGCTGCAACTACAGATCTGGGCTATCAGGTCCCCAAAGAGTTTGGAAATGGTCAAGTCACCCTCCAGAAGGGAGAAGGAAAGTACCACGATTTCAGGGTGAGGCACGTGACAGCTCTACATGAACCACAAATCCCACGCCAAAAGTTGGGCCCACTTTAGGAACACTTATCCTCGGTCACAACTCCAGCACGAGTCGGATGTGGGGAGTCGACAACTGCTGGTCACTGGGGAAGGCGTCTGACACGCCTCGCCTCACTCAATACCCACGGAACCTCCTACCCTAGAGAGTGACAATCCCCCTAACCAGGTCCCCAGGTCTCCCCGACAAGACACGCTGGGGTCAGGCCCCGTGTGTCGGGTATTTACGGAAGACAGATGTGCTAGCCAGTATCCAGACGCTGGGATAGCTGGGAGGCAGGGGCCACCGGCCGTCGCCCACGGGGCCTGCGCGGGCCTACCTGGCTTCGTTCTCGATGTTCCCGTTGCCGAGACTTAGCTGCCTTGCGAAATGCCGCCGCCATGCTTACTAGGGTCTAGAAAATGCTCAGCAAACTCCAGTACCGATACCACACTACCTGAGCAGCAGCGTCCGCCAAGACTACCGGAAGCAGGCCCAGACGCTTAAGACTTGCAGACTATGCAGGCTATCAGAAGCCTACTTTGCCGGAAATACATCTCCGCTCGAGCAGCCCGGACAGGAGGCGTCTGGGAGATGTAGTTTCCTAGATAGAGTCTCCTGATTACTTCAGCGTTCTCTCTTATTCTCCTGAGAGCGTTCACAGGTCCGGAGACCTAGCCTTCGCTCTAGCTGCAAATTGGTATCTGAGAACACGTTGCGGGCACTCCCCTCGGGCTGAGCTCGGCTTGCGTGTGCGCATGTGCTTTCACCTGCGTCTTGACCCTGGGTTAAAATCCTAAACAGAGCGGGCCGCGTTGGCTCACACCTTTAATTCCAGCACTCTAGACGGTTTCTGTGAGTTCAAAGCTAGCCTGGTCTTATACATAGTGATTGCCAGCCACGGCTACATAGTGAAATGAAACCCCGTCTCAAAAAGCAAACAAACAAGCAAAACAAAACAAAAAAGGGTAATGGTTGCACATTCCTTTAATCGCAGCACTCAGGAGGCAGAGGCAGACAAATCTCTGTAACTCGAGGCCAGCCTGGTCTACAGAGCTAGTTCCAGGACAGCCAGTGCTGCACAAAGAAATCCTGTCTTGAAAAACCAAAATGAAAAAAGACAAGAAATAAACAAAAACTAGAAATAAGGTGAGTTTTACAATGCACTAGAAATAACACTTTAAAACCACCTTTGGCTCTGCCACTGACCACTGATGGTTTGACTTTGAGCAGGTTCTTTGACTTTAACGAGCATCATTTTTCTCATCCATAAAGTGAAGATAATAATAGCTCACTGGTCTTGCTCACGGGAGTGTCAAGGGCACTGAGGTGCAGAATCATATCTGTAAGCATGCAGAAGAGAATCACCTAAAAGCAGTAAAGTTATGAGTCCTTCGCAACCATCAAAGACATGGCTGGCTGGCAGCCTTAGGGTGAGGTGGCACAGTGTGCTGGTTAGAGTTGTGAACTGCGATGGGAGTGTTCTGATTCCATCCCTGCTCTCGTTTTTTTTGGCTGTTTTGTTTGTTTTTGAGATGGGGTTTCTCCTAGCTTTGGAGCCTGTCCTGGAACTCACTCTGTAGACCAGACTGGCCTCGAACTCACAGAGAGTCTCCTGCCTCTGCCTCCCAAATGCTGAGATTAAAGTACTGGGATTGCCAGGCTGTGGTGGTGCATGCTTTTAATCCCAGCACTCAGGAGGCAGAGGCAGGCAGATCTCTGTGAGTTCGAGGCCAGGCTGGTCTACTAGAACTGTCTCAAAAAAACAAAAAAGGGGGGGTGGGATTAAAGGTGCCACCATCACCCGGTGCCACCCCTGCTCTTAACCAAGGGAAGTTGGTTGTGCTGAGGTTTGGTATCCACATCTAGTTGTAAAATAATAAAATAATATTATCCCCACAGGATTATGGGTCTTGAATAGCATAATATGTTTAGAGTGCTTAATGCTCTGTTTACTTGCTAGCAGGTTCACAATAAAATTGTTCCGTCTCTGTTTTCTGGTTTTATTGTATTTGGTTTAGTCTCATCTGGTTTGGTGTTTTGAGGCAGGGTCTAGCTATGCAAGCCTGGCTGCCCTGAAACTCACTAGACCCAGCTGGTCTCAGACTCACTGTGATTCTCTTGCGTCTTCAGAGTACTTGGATTACAAGTTTGCACCAGCATGCCCAGCTATCGGTGTTATTTTTATCATCACGAAAGCTGCCTCTAAGTAGTATCAGAGAGAGTTGGACCCAGCAAGGCATTGCAGTGGCATCTGGGATTACTTGCTCGCTCTCTCTCTCTCTCTCTCTCTCTCTCTTTCTCTCTTTCTCTCATTCTCATTTTTTTTTATCCGTTGGCTGACCTCAAACTCACAGAGATCCACCTGCCAAGTGCTGGGATTAAAAGCATGCACCACTACCCAGGCTTCGACAGGTTCTTTAATTGCCTCCATTTTACATGACACTGGTCACCTGTCCAGCAGAAGAATGCCACAGAAACCCTCTTCAGAGAGTCCAGGAGACAAATGGGTATGAAAAAGGTCACAGTATGAAGATTTTTTTTCCTGCTTCTACACACTTCGTCTTTTCTCAGTTAGGTCCACATGCTTTAGGAAAATTCCATTTTGTTTGTCATTCTTGAAAAAGAAGTTACTTCATCATCTAGTCTGAGACCACCTTTCCAGCCTTATCTCAGGAAGCTTAGCTATCTGATGGAATGACCAAATGGTTGCTGTATCCACTCCTGACTTATCCAGCAGCATCCGGGGAAGCCGTCGCTGTACCCTGGAGGTGAGAGACTCTAAAGTTAGCTATAGATTGACATTGCACAACTACCACCTTTTATTTTGGCATTTAGAGCCCATCATCAAAATTTTTGTAAAGTGAGAGCAAAAACTAGTTAGCATGTTTTTTTTTAAGCATACCATATACATGGTACCTACACACAGCATTTAACCGTGTTCTCTCTGCTTCCCTGCCTGTACTCTGTCAAAGTCTCTCGCTTTACCCGCTGTGACGCCCCTGTGGGCATGAGAGAACAATGTTTCTATAGGATTTGAAAGAGAGTGTTTGCCAGGTTTGAGGCTCTGGGCATTGCAGTGTTAGGAGTGAGCAATATACCCAGGGAAGAAGGGTGTTTCTCACTGGGAGGAAGGAGGTCTTGTGGTTGCAGGCTCCAGAGTGATTCAGCATCCAGAGGAAGCCATGAGCAGCTTGGCAGAAGTGACGCTGGGCCTTCCTTTGAAAGCTCTTGCAAGGCAAGAAGACAAGACGGGGTTCCGTGAGCTTGAGCAAGGGAAGTGTGTGCACCACTGCCCGGGTGGGGAAGGAACAAATAACCCACTTAACCTATGCAGGTGGCCAAGCGCTGTTTCCAGCTCTGGCTCAGTTGCACCTGTTTCCCAGGCAGGGGGAGAGGACAGATGGGTAACAGGGACAGAGAGTCCATGAGGCTGATCCCTGAACTCCCTGGGGCACGTCTTCCTGGGCCAACAGAAAGAAAGTGAGCAGGGAAATGTGAGCCCACTGGACACGGAGAGGAGAAAGGACACAGCCCCCCGTCCTAGGTCTTCTCCCTCCCCCAGACTGGCCAGAGCCAAAAGTCTCCTAACTCTCTCTGACCTTTAGACTTCAAGGCCTAACAGTAGAACCTTAGCACTTGACCATTAAGGGGGAAGTGGGGAGGGCTCCCTACCTACTGAAGACTTATTCCATGGTTCCATCAGTCCCCAACAATGGTATCCTCGAGGAAGAGACGGCCTTTCAGAGGTTCACTGACTACACAGGTAATGGTTAGGATCGTTTTTGCCGTGAGAATCTTTGACATTTGACAAATTTGATTTTGTCATTCTTGGCAGTTACTTACTGAGTACTGGGATTAAAGGCGTGCACCACCACCACCCAGCTCCTCCTCACTCCGAATTTTTACAATTTATTTTAATTCTTCTTCTTCTTCTTCTTCTTCTTCTTCTTCTTCTTCTTCTTCTTCTTCTTCTTCTTCTTCTTCTTCTTCTTCTTCTTTTCTTCTTTTCTTCTTCTTCTTCTTCTTCTTCTTCTTCTTCTTCTTCTTCTTCTTCTTTTCTTATTCTTCTTCTCCTCCTCCTCCTCCTCCTCCTCCTCCTCCTCCTCTTCTTCTTCTTCTTCTTCTTCTTCTGACAGAGTTTCACTGTATAACATCCCTGACTGTTCTGGAACATGCTCTGTATACCTGGCTGGACTCAAAATCACAGAGATCCAACTGCCTCTGCCTCCGAGTACTGGGATTAAAAGTGTGCCTGCATCACCACTGCCCAGCTATTTATTTTTATTTACATATATGTTTGTGTTTGTGGGAGTGAATGTCACCTATGCTGGTGTCTGAGGAGGCCAGAAAAGGGCATCAGATTCCCTGGAGTTACAGGCCACTGTGAGGCACCACACATAGACCCTGGGAACTCAGCTCTGGTCCTCTGGAAGAGCAGTGCACTGGCTGATTGACATGGAAGGGCCCAGCTCACTGTGGGCAGTACCACCCCTCGGCTGGTGGTCTTGGTGCTCTAAGAAACCAGGCTGAGCAAATCTCATGAGAAACAGGCCAATAAAGGGCACATTCCTCCATGGTTTCTGCTTCAGCTCCCACCTCCAGATTCCTGCTGCCTGAGCTCCTGCCCCAGGTTCCCTGACCAATGCTGTAATGTGGAGTTGCAAGATAAAATAACCCTTTCCTCCCCAGCTTGCTTTTGTCCGTGGTATTAGAAAATAATCCCAAGCAGTCTTAGCCACCAAAGCCACCTGACTCCAGAGGGTTGACCTCTGACCTTCACACAAGCACACAGGCACACCAGCACTAGCACACACATGTGAGAACACTCAGGCAAATACAAACACACACCACACAATATGTATACACACAGACATACACTATATGTGAGTATATAGCTATGTATATGTGTGTGTATGTGTGTTTATTCAATAATTATGTGCATTTATGTATATAAAGTATTTAGGAACAGTGCGAAGTGGGAGCTCACAGAGTCCTGGTTCTTGGGAAAGCCCTTCAGTGGTGCTTCCAGCCGCAGGGAGAGAAGGAAGACTCTAGATGAAGCACCTTCCCTGCTTGCTCATAACTCTCCCCTTCCTGAAGGCTTCTGTCCTAGTCAGGGATCCTATTGTGTGAGGAAACGCCATGACCAGAAGCAAGTTGAGGAGGAAAGAGTTTATTTGACTTACACTTCCATCTTAGTCCATCACTGAAGGAAGTCAGGATAGGAATTCAAAGAAGGCAGGAACCTGGAGGCAGGATCTGATGCACCAGAGGCCACAGAAGTGGTGCTTCTTACTTGTTCAACCTGTTTTCTTTTCTTTTTTCTTTCTTTCTTTTTATATTTATTTATTATGTATACAATATTCTGTCTGTATGCCTGCAGAAGAGGGCACCCATTACAGATGGTTGTGAGCCACCATGTGGTTGCTGGGAATTGAACTCAGGACCTTTGGAAGAGCAGGCAATGCTCTTAACCTCTGAGCCATCTCTCCAGCCCCTTTCTTTCTTTCTTTCTTTCTTTCTTTCTTTCTTTCTTTCTTTCTTTGTTTTTCAAGACAGGGTTTCTCTGTGTAACAGCTCTAGCTGTACTGGAACTAGCACTGTAGACCAGGCTGGCCTCAAACTCACAAAGATCTGCCAAGTGCTGGGATTAAAGGCATGTGCCACCACCACCCAGCTAGCCTGTTTTCTTATAGAACTCAGTACCACCAGCCCAGGGATAGCACCGCCCACGATGGACTGGGTCCTCCCCCATCAATCACTAATTAAGAAAATGCCCAAGCTAGGACTATGGCACAGGCGTTTAACCCCAGAGGCAGAGGCAGAGGCAGGCAGATCTCTGTGAGGAGGCCAGCCTGGTTTACAAAGCAAGTTCCAGGACAACCAGAGCTACACAGAGAAACCTTGTCTCGGAAAACCAAAAATAAAAGAAAATAAAAATTTAAAAAACGAAGAAGAAAAAAGAAAGAAAGAAAATGCCCTACAGGCTTTCTGACAGTCTGCGGTTATGGAGGCATCTTCTCAGTTGAGGTTCCCTCCTGTCAGATAGTTCTAGCTTGTGTCAGATTGCATAAAACTAGTCAGCACAGCTGCCATTATTGCCATCACCGCATCTCAGACAGACCTTTCTAGCTATTTACTACAACCAGGAATACTTGCTGCATCCCTCCAGAGGATGGGCCTACCCTGAGACTGTCTATTCACCCGCTGGACTCCTGATAGCTGGTACCTAGGAGGGGCGGATGGGGCGGGCATCCAAACTGAAGCCCAGTGTGTCATTCCCCCATCAGTTATTTATTGCTGCCCAGCTCAGGAGTAGTGGGAATGTAGTAGTCAACAAAAATGACCCAACCTCTGCCCTCAAAGCGCTTGCAATTTAAGATTCAACAACACAATAATCAATCATTTAATTTTGAAAAGAAACCTGACCCGGAGGCTGTCTTAGGACCCAGAAACCTGACACGTGCTACCAAATGCGAGGGTCCTCACCATGCTTGGTGGGGTCTTAATCTCTGCAGTACAAACTTGGTTGGACGCAGCCTTGGATCAGAAAAGCCTCTCTGGGCATCTCAATCACCATGGATACAAAGATTATTTCCAGCGTTAGTTTGTTGTCTCTTGTTTTGCAAACAGCACAACAGAGTCTCCCCACCGCCACCCCCACTCCTGCCCTTCAGATCGAGGCTATTTATTCCTAGTGACAAGCCTGAGGATCCCAGGGGGGGTGGCCTCAAGGCCCTGGATGGGCTTTGTGTCCCTGGCAGGCTCTAGTCCTCCCTTCCCGGCACAGAGTAGAAGTTGGAGGGTCAGAAACTGCAGAAGTCCCCTCCCTTCTTCTTCATCACCACTGCCTGCAACAACACAACCTCTCATAAGTCTTCACACCCCTCCCAAGAAACCTAAAACTTATGGGTTGAGGATTAGGGTCTCCCTGAGCCGGGAAGGTCAAAACTATTCCTGGGGCACTACAGAAACCTCAGTGCCAGGATGCATCTGAGGTTGGGGAGGTTATTGCCTGGGCTTTCGCCACACAGTTGTAGAATAAAGCCTTTTGAAATTGAAGAGGATAAAGACTCTCTCTCTTTAGCCCAAGTTTCTAGAAAATGCCTTGATCTCCACTGGTAAGGCTAAGCCAGCAGAACCAAAAACACCCCTCCCGTAGGCTGGATTAAGGCCTCCTTCACAAGCTAAGGTTTAGTTTAACATCTGGGGATGAGCTAGGAGGAGATGATGAGGGGGTTTGGTCCCTAAATGGACCCTGGTCCTGGGAGTCCTGCACCCCTGGCTTGGGATCGCATCCAACAGTTCCCCCAGGTCGGAGGGGCATAGTGGGACGGGCCAGGCTGCAGGGGGCGGGCA